TTCGATTCCTCCACTGGCTCCTGTCCCGTGGCTAGTTCCTATCCTGTGGCTGGCTTTTGTTGTTCCCCATGGTTGCCTTTTCCTCTCCCCCGTGTGGTCCCTTCGGATGTTGTTCCTGGCAGCGCCTGTTAGTCTTTTGGCTCCCCTTTTTGGGTTAGTTTGGCTGGAGGAAATTGTGGTTGTTTGGCTACCTCTTTTCACCTATGAATTGGGGATGATTTGAAGCTTAAAAAGAGGATGATATGTGAGGATTTTTGGAGCAAAAAACCAGTGGGTTTCTTCTTGGAAAAGCTTGCGAGGTATGGTCTTCTTTCCCCTTCTCTTAAAATTCATCTCGATCTTCTAATCCCTTCTTCTTTATCCACAGTTTTCACTCCACATGTATCATTCTTCTCTAAAATATATATATCTTTTATGGCTTATGTTTGTCATTTGTAGTTGAAGTCATGTCTCTTTAATTTGCAATCTTAGTGTCTTTGTTAATCTATGTTGTAAGAAAGGAATTCTTTTAGTTTTTGCAAAATTCCATTTGCATCAATTCAGGATGCAAATGAGGTGGACACTTGCGAAAAGAAGAATTAGATAAGAAGTCCGAGACGAAATCGTATAAGAAAGGGAAGAGAAATGGAACAAGCTCGCAAGCTTTTCCAAGAAGAAACCCGCAAGTTTTTACATTCCACAAATTTTCATTTCTAAAACCCTCCTTTGCCTACATCAACTCTGGATTTGGTGCACCTTAGTTAAGTTCTTCTTTCTTAGCCTTTTAGGCTATTCCACCTACTCTTCCCTCATTCCTTCTCGTTGTTTTATCTTGTGCTAATTGGTTCAATTTCAGCAGACATTTCTATGGCTTACTCCGGTCCTTTTGTTACTTTCTCTTTCGGCATGGATTTGCGGGCGACACTTCCGGAGTCCCTACTGCCGAGCCTTTTTACGCGTGGGGGAATCACTTTTGGTTTATTTACTAACTCAGCATACGTCACTCTTGGCGGGTCGACACCCTCCGCTGCTGCCGCCTTTGCTCCCCACAGAGGAGAGGCTACGCATCCATGCGCCCCTTTGGGTGCCCAGCTACTCAGTGTTCCGTCCGGGCCCATGTTCATCTTGTTCCAGTCCGTGCACAACCAGTGCACTCCGTGGCTAGGCAACCAGTACCTGCACCATTTCCTGTTCAGTTTCCTAGACCAGTGATCAGGTAGCCAACGCATATAATACCTGTCGTTCAGATGGCTTCGATCCCTCAGCACCGGCAGCCGATATTTCCTCTTCCTGCTGCCCCATAAGAGGATGCTCGCGCTCGGGTTTCCCCTCCTTCCTCTTCAAGGAAGAGGGCGCCCAGGTTGAGCTTCCTTTACATTCTTCCACTCGTCGGGTTTCTGTTTTTTCCTGGCTTTCTCACCATGAGACAATTGGGCAGATCCTGGCACTCCCCTCTATAGTAGTTCCTGTCCCTCCTGTTCAGTCAGTTGGTCTTGATGTAGCGTCTTCTTCCACCTCCGGCCTTGGGAGAAGGGTCCGGAGAAATAGGAACAGAAGGTTACGCTTAACAGCGTCTAAGGAGGCAGTACAGCAAATGGCGAATTCTGTGGTTCTCCCGATGAGTGACGGAGGGTCCGATCAAGTTAATTTTGTGAAATTAAACTTGAATCGGTGTCGAATTGCGTCGAATTTGGCTCGACAAGGCTCGATTGGGTTCAATTTGGATTGATTTGATTTTAATTTAATTTAAAATAATTAAATTGATGTTTAATTTGGGCCAATTTTGCTTCGACGGCATTCAATCGAATTGATCGAGTGCAATCGAGACCAGTCGAGTTCGAATCGACTCGATCGGGATTAGGTCAACATAAAATAATGGCAACACTTGGGAAGTCAAATGAGCTCAAATTGATTAATTAAGGCTGAAATTGAACCCGAATTGGACTTGACCAGAACTGATTTGAGTCGACTCGGGTCAAATTGTGTTCAAGCAAGCCAATTTAGTGAAATTGGACTTGAATTGGCACCGAATTATATCGAAATTAGTTCGACGAGCCTCGACGAGGCGATATTGAGTTCGATTTGGATCGATTTGATTTTAATTTGATAAAATTGATTTTAATTTTTTAAATTAAAACTCGATTTGGGTCAATTTGTGTTCAACGGTGCTTGATTGAGTTGATCGAGCATGATCAAGCCCAATCGAGCTCGAATCGGGGTTAGGTCAACACGAAAATATACGTCAACAATAGTAGGAGATATCAAAGACTTACTGGATGTCTAATCTATCTTTTACACACTCAACCAGATATTGGTTTGCAATAAATGTTGTAAGTCAATTTATGCACAATCCTACAGATCAACACAGAATCAGTCCACAGGATTCTTAAATACTTAAAGATGACACAAGAGAAAGACATATTCTTCGTGAACACATGGAAGCAATCTACATGAATCTGGGATACTTGAAGATGATTCAACAAGGAAAGGCCTATTCTTCGGCAAAGACAAAGAATCGTGATACAAAAGTGTATTCATATGCATATTGCAAAGGAAATTATTGACAGACGGTCAACTTCAGGGTACTGCTTTGTTTGGGGTAATCTTGTTACCTAGAGGAGTAAGAAGCAATCAATGGTTGTTAGAAGTAGTGCAAAAGTTGAGTACAAAGCATTGCATAAGGAATTTGTAAAAGGATTTGGATAAAAAGGGTTCTTAGTAAACTAGAACAAATGAGTTCATCTTCTATTATGATGATATGTAATAATCAAGCAGCTATCAGCATAGATAAGAATCTCATGCATCATGACAGGACTAAGCACGTTGAAATTGATAGATACTTCATCACAAATAAGGTGATTAATGAGATTGTTAAATTGAAATATATCCCTACCAAGCAACAAACTGCGAATATCTTCACCAAAGCTCTACCTAGAACTAACTTGGAAGACTTAATGTTCATGCTTGAATTATATGATATATATTCTTCAACTTGAGGGGGAGTGTTGAATATTTGAAAGTCAAAGTTAAGAAATTTATTTTAGGAAAGTATTTTTAGGAATAAAAGGAGAGATCAAATGTGATCTTCTCCTATGATTTTATTATCTAATTTTTAAGAAAGAATTATTCTCTTATAATTCTATTTTCTAAATTTTAGTAAAGAATTAAGCTAGTTAGTTATTTCTTTTATTAAACACTTTTTAGTATATATATAGTACCATATGATGCACAAACACAAACACAGCGACACAGATACAACACGGACACGGACACAGGGCACGTTAATTATTAAAAATATAGGACATGGACACGGGTTGGATTTATTATAGTTTTTATATTTTAAAAATAGCGTAGAAAATTAAATAAGTATAATTTTAAAAATAATTTAGAAATAATAAGTCATTTAACTAGAATTTGTCCTTAAAATGATTAATATTAGGATGTTGAGAGTCGGGCTTCGATGCTGTTTATCAGTCATCGAGAGGGGAGATGAAAATACCTTCAGTCCCAAAGAGAAATGAAAATAAGAATATTCTATGAATGGGGTATTAAGTGCGGACGATTGATTTGGTACTGTAGATAGGAAATAAAAAATTTAATTTTTATATTTTAAATAAAGAAAAAAATTTAATTACAAGAAATTATATTTTTAAAAATTCATAAAATATTTAAGATACGCATGTCCAATTTGTATTTAATATTCTTTTAATCAGACACGTTTTTGGCGTGTCCGACACGTGTCGGAGGAGTGTCAGACACTACACGCCTCTTTGAGGAAAAGTGTCAGTGCATCATAGATAGTACCGTTTTCTTTTAATAAGAATAATAATTAAGAAATTATTCACTAGGTAATCTCATCAAAGTTTGAACCTGGCTTTTATTATGATGCTTTAACTAATTTAATTCATAAACTTCTATATTAGTTTTGGATTTCCCTCTAATTCTCCTACCACAATTCAATTCCTCTCGAAAATGTAAGAAACGAACACAATAAAAGAGAAAAATAGACAAAATGAAAATAAAAGATGTATTCTCCAACCACAATTCAATTCCTCTCGAAAATATAAGAAAGGTACACAATAAAAGAGAAAAATAGACAAAATGAAAATAAAAGATGTCCAAAACAAGGATCACTTTCCTCCTCCCAATTTCCTTCCTAATGCCTTCTTCTTCTTTTTTATTTGGTATCGATATCACCCCTCAGTTGGCTAAGTAAAGTGCAGGTCAAGCAGCAAGGAAAAGTTACTCTTCACCAATCCATAGAGACCTTTCATCCTTCTCTGTTCAAATTACATTCTTCTAAATTTCTTCAAGTCGTTTGGGTCATTAGAACTTGCAATATTGAGAAAACCATAATAGTATAACAAGAACATCTCCGTGCATGTTACCTCAACCTTCCTTGGGCAGTCTGGCTTCCCTAGTGTAGGTAAAGCAGCTCCAGATAAGAATGTTTTGTTATGGAAGCAAACCAAATTATTTCAATCCCTGCAATCTCCTCAAAACATGTAACTTAAGAATTTGATGTTCTCATCAATCAGCATTATTATTATATTGAAAATTCCCTTCCCAGTCCCCTCAATCGCAGGGATTTCAAACACCTACAACAATGAATCAGTTCTTTGCATAAAATCCCCATGAACTTTTTTTTTTCCACCCTAAAAAGAGATTTTCAAATCCCCGTGAACTGAACTTCCCTAAACAACCACCCTCCCCCTTCTCCCCTCGGCTAAAAACTTTTAACACTGAAGGGTTTTTCTCCATAAACAGCACAGAACTATATTATCGAAATATAGACAAAGCATTTAAATCTGCTTGAAGTTTTGCACCCAGAAAGAAAATCACTAATTAATTATCATAAAAGTATATAAAACAGTAGGGTAGTAGAAAAGCCTAAACAAAGTGTATATTTAATATTCTATCAGGAAAATTTTAAAACAAGCAAAAAATTGAGAAATAAAAATTTTTATGGCAAAACAAAAAGGATAACAATACTTCAACATATAACAATGGAAATTACGCACCGTGAACGAACTAACAAATGCATGTGAATGTGTCCCACGAAGTGGTATGCCAAACAATTTTCCGGCTGCAACATTGCTGTTGATAAATGAAAATGAAAAGAAGAGTTTTCATATGCACTAAAATCAACGATTAAAAAAGGCAAAAATACTCGAGATATTCAGTGGGAGTGCATGACCACATATTGATTGTATAAAGATACTAACAAAGCATTTTTCCCTCTTTTGGAACACAATAGAGGTTTAAAATCAAATAGAATCAATTAAACCAACAATGTGGTATTAAGCTTATTGATACTAATAATGGAGGTAGTAGACTCGAATCTGGTAGACAAACTGAACTCATATTGCATGCAGTGCTAGGTTCCCATATATTCAAGAATTTGCAACACTCTATTGCAACGCATTCAACTTCATAGTGCTATTTTTGTACTACAAAAAAATGATAATGACATAATAGAAAATACATTTCTATAAGAATAGACCTTAACACAAGTTAAATATTCCTTTTACCTTGTCAATAATGCTGCAACAACAAAACATAGACGACGGCATTACGTTATTTTTTTCTTAACACGGACTATATAAAAATCAATATACCCATAAGGCCATAACTTTAAAAAATAATAAAAAATTGCAACCATAAAATTTGTGGGTTACTATCGTGGCAAAATACCTTACAGCATCATCAAGCCTTTATCCCACAATGTGGGGTCGGCTACATGAATATGTTCTCCATTATGGTCTGTTAAGAGTCCAATTCTCATTTAAATCTAATAAAGAAAGGTTATTTCTAATTTTTTCTAACCAAATCTTTATAGGTCTACTTCTATCTTTTTTAATATAAGTCAAATCTAATACATCTACTCTCCTAACCAAGTCATCGGAAGACCTCCATTTTATGTGACCAAACCATCTAAGGCGACTCTCCCTATTCTTATCTGCCACTAGAGCTATTCCAACCTTTTCACGTATATGCTCATTTCGTATCCTGCCTCTAAGAATAAAGCCTCTTAAATTTAAGGAAAAATTCTATAAGATGGTGGTGACAAAATACCTTGTTGCATCAAAACCACCAATATAACAATATTTAGAGGCACTCACTCCACCATCAGGACCCTAAATAAAAGAAATATGTCAATGTATTCTAGAAATGACAGCAAATACACAGTAATAAAGACAAGGACAAAGAAATTTAGCAGCACCTGTGCACGCCTTAAACCAAATTCAAGCAGAGTTTTAGAATTTCCTGCAACAAGACGATGCCTAGCTGCATTGGTAGCAACCAATGAGGCAAAATTGACAAGATTTACAAATGGAGTTTCAAGCAGTTGTACGACCTACAGAAAATATAGCATATTATTCTCTCTGAACTGCTATCAAAACGTGAAACTCGAAATTTATAAGGAGTTAACTAAGTCAACGTCAAATTCAACACGGAAATAAGTAGAACAATCAAAACCATTAACGGATGACATTCCAAAAGTATGTTATCTAATGATACTCACTGCAACAGGTCCTTCAACTCTCATTAGTGGCACCTTAGGAAAGACAACAGAACCTTCAGGAATGGCATAAACTTCAACATCTGAACAATCAATTTGTCTGAGAAACTCAAAGAATCCATCCTAAAAAAACAAATGATGAAATTGCATACGGTCAACATTGCAATCATGGTAAATATAAATATGTGATCATCAAAAGTAGATACAAATTAATGGATAAATTATATTTTCTAGTAACTCTACCAGACTGAAAAAGGAAAGTAGAACGTATATTTGTTTTGTTATTCACAGAAGAATAAAATATACCTAGAATTTCAATCATGAACCACTACAAGATTTAATATTTAGCTGGTTGAAATACATGAAGCAAGGATAGCATCTAAAGATAGAAATCATCGAAAGGATCTATAATTTTTCATCCTCAATTTGCAGAAGGAGAAGGAAAACTTGATCGACGTATCAAGACTCTTTTGGTTTTCTTTTCGGATATCATTTAGCCTTTCTTTTCCACAGCATCATGATTTCCCCACAATTACTTTGTTCTCAATGCTTTAATTTATAAATTTAATTCCCTTCTTGCAGACCTTTGCCTGTTTGCATTGCAGTTTGAAAAACATATGTGGAAAAGAAAAATGTGAGACCTTTTGCATGTTTAAATTGCAGTTTGAAAAACATATTAAGCAACTCTTTTGATTTTTGTTTAGGATATCATTTAGCCTTTCTTTTCCACAGTATCATGATTTTCCTAGTGGGCTCCGAAAATTCACGCCCTGGCCTCTCCGCAGCCCCTTTCTTTCTTTTTGATCGTCTAATAGAGTTTTAAAGAGTATGTTCCTAGGAAATTTTTCAAAAGGCAGACTGGATTGTGAATAAGGCATTACCCAGAGATTTCGCCCTCATTTTGCAAGGACTTCATAATCTCAATTCAGGTTTCCTATAGGCGCAAGCTCCTATAGTCAAACAAATACGTAGTAGCCAGTGTATAGTAGCAGCATGATTTGGTATTTAAAAATTTAATATTTAAAATTGGAAATTTACCTCCTCGCACTAATAATGATGAATCCGATCAAGATCCTATGGTTCCATCATACCGGGTCATGATGATCCCTGGTCTACTTATCAGAGAAAGTAGTCAACCCAACTTGAAAGAAAGTTCTTTGTCAGCAGTCATGGGTTACTTCATCGAAGGGTACCTTGTAGATCTGTGATGGATATTTGTTAAAGTGGACAAATTTGAAGTCACCTCAGCTAGCAGAGGGTTTTTGCCCTATCAGTTATATCCTATTGATTCATTACTCAATAATTTAGCACCGTTGGGAAATATATGGGCTCTGACCATGACCATAATATAATGGTGCCAATTGGCAGCAAAATCACCCGGTCATAACCATTTACTAGTAGTGTCATTTGGCAGCAAAATCACTTATTAGAGGACATGTGTCATGTCCACTGGCAAGAGATATACAACAACAACAACATCAAGCCTTTATCCCACTACGTGGGGTCGGCTACATGAATCCTTTTTCTCCATTGTGTCCTATTAAAAGCCAAATTCTCGTTTAAATCTAATAAAGAAAGGTCATTCCTAATATTTTCTAACCAAGTCTTTTTAGGTCTACCCCTACCTTTCTTAACACAAGTCAAATCTAATACCTCTA